GTAAAGTCATAACATGTATCCCCGCAGTTGGGGCCCTGCGGCTGCTCTAAACAATGTTTGGTTACAATTCTGCAATTTTACTATGGAATTACCAGCCTGTCAGAGTCTGACACAGCCAGGGAGCTGAAGTCAACAGCCTCGCATGGACAGGGGACGACACACTTAAAAAACTTCGGGCAAGTCTTTAGTTGAGTCAACAGTCATTATTTAGACCTTAGGCATTTATAACCTGCTCATGTAAATTCAGTTGCTTTGTAATACAGGGCTTTGCTTGCCTAGGGACTGCTGGTTTACGTATTTATAATTTGTGATTATATTTCTTTTTCCTTCCTAGAAGCACTGAACATCTATTGTAAATGACACAAGCAAAAAGAACAGTAAAAACATGCTCTAAACAGACACGAATGCTCTAAGTAAATCAGTGCTACTTTTCTACTGAGCAAGGGCATTCAGCATAAGAAGGTTACATTTCAGACATTAATGAAACCTCACAGGTTAACAGGGGAAATAATACTGCAGGTATGACAAAAAATGATTACGTTTCTAAGACAATAAATATCTTAGAGTTCTGATATTAGAGTAGGTCTGGTTTAGGGGAAGCTGAAGGATTGTTACTTATTCACTGAGATGTGCTATCATTTCTTATTCTGTATAGTATCTCAAAAACTCTCTCTACTGTTCAAACATTCACTTGCCCATGTTTAAATGTCAAAGTCTTCATGGGAAATGGTGCATCTTTAACTTGGTGCACATTGCAGAAGTTTTTCAAGAGCATGAGTGCAGAACCCTCACAGAAACTGAACGAGCTTTTTAAAAGACCTCTTCTATTCCTACCCCAGGAATGACTTGTTTGCCTTGGTTTTCTCACAGTACTGCCTTCTTCCACTAAAACCACCTATGACATTAGATAACGTGAAACTGGTAGGAGTGGAACAATTCAGTTTCATGGAAATAAAGTGCTCTCTTTTTACAGACTGTTAAGTGACAGTGCAAGAGCAGAAACCAAGAATGGTGTATTTAGTAAGTCACTGGAAAGTTTAGTCTTCCTAAAAAGGGGACAAACGTGGTAAGATAAACTATTTATAAGCTATCAGCAGCACATATTTTTCTTTTCTCTCTGGAAAGTTTCCCCATCAGGCAACTTATCCATGAAGTCATTCCAGCTTGCACACTCCTATCCACAGCTTTTTATGGAATGAGCATTTCCCTGCACTATCGATCCCCCCTCTCTTACTCCAGCTTATAATTACACTAGAGAAAAAGCTTCTGACTTCTAATATCAAGACAGAGAAACTTTTCTGAAAGACATTCTTCTCTCCCAACTCGATACCGCCTGTCTTCCTGTTGTCTTTACTTGCCATGTATCATCACGCTTTTTTGCATCGCTACAGAGACTGGGGGTCTGCAAGGGATTTCTCCTGGTTTTTCTTTGATTAGCAATATCAGCAAAGGGGTACCAGCACTATTGCTGCTGACAGCTCTGGCTCTGTGACAGGCTGTGAACCATTTTGACGTACTTGCATCTTACCAGCAATACAGACACTGCAACTCAGAAACCCCCATTTCAGATTGTCAACTCCTGATGGAGCAGAACTTGCCTCTCCATAGAGACCAATGCTGCTACATACACAATACAAAAACACCTAATAAAATCCCATCCCCACCCCACTAACATAAAACAACAGACAGGCAAAGAGGTGCTATTAAGAAATCTGACATTAGGTGAGAGGATTGGTACATGCTCAGTGATCAAATCCTTGCATAACTAAAACATTAGAGCAACTTATGTAGGCAGACAATATTAAAAGAGCAGACAGACACAGACAGTCTTTGGGGTAATATATCAAAGAAAGGCGACAGACAGAGAAAGAATGCTTAAAAAGGAAACTGTGACCTCTGCTATGTTAAAAAGAAATAGTCACTTTCGGCACCTATCTTCCATCTTCAGTTACCCACTGGGTAGGAATCTTTTCCACCAAGGGAGAAATGAACTCTTTTCTCACCAGCTTTTGGTTGAAAAACCAGAACAGCACCAGAAGAAAGATTTGGCGAGGCTGAAGCAAGGATGCATGAGGTTACTGAGCAGATGCGTGTTTACCAAAGTGTAGTATGGGGAAGGCTTTGTAGTAAATAATAGAGCTGGCAACAATTTGCATCAAACTAAAAAAACTGAACAAACAAACAAAAAAAAGAGGACCTTTTCTAATTTCATTTTTAATGGACAGTTCTGAGTTCATCAAAATCTTGTACGAGAAACAACTTTGCCAGTGTAAGATCTGAGCTGTGGGAACCCAGATTTATAGCAAGCCAAGAACTCACGAAGTCCATGGGAACTCAGAATATTGCGGCTCTGGACAAGTCTATGGTAATGATACTTCAGCATCTGTCAATTACAATAGATAATAGAAAAAGACTCCTGGCTCCCTAATCTCAGCATTTGCTGTATTCAAGGTATTGCCTGTAGTAAATACAGAGAAGGACAATGCTAGACTACATATACTGAGAGTATGTTATATTATGTATCACAGGTATTTTCTGTGCATCACTGTGGGAGAAAAACCTTCATCACATCCAGACACTGTCATATGAAGCCTTGAGCAATTCTCTGGTGTCTTCCGGGACAGTTAACAGCAGTACCTCGAGATGAGGCAAGACCTCACCATATGCTCATCATCTTCTATTTCCATTTTAAGAAAAAGAAAATGTCCAGAGAGTCCTCCTGTTCTTTAGGTCATTCCTCAGAACACAGTTCCTACTTCTTCCCTACCCACCACAGTTTGCTCTAAGATCTCCAAACACTGGGAGCAACGACACCATTTTGCTTGCTTGCACCCGTACTTCTCTAAAACGTCACTAAAAGCTCCGTACTTCGATGAACAACAATCAGAATTTTTTGGTCTGAATGTAATTGTCATGGGGTTTTTGTTTCTAGCATAAAACTGTCACTTAGGATAGTAATTTTTTAACAGATTGCTTTCCTGAAAATCGTCAAACTTTCAACACTATGTGGTAGAAAATTTTCCACCTTAGGCATACTCTCACCTTGAGAGCTTTGCTTGTCTTGGTCTAGAGATGCAGAAAGATGCATATTCTAGTGTGCGTGGTGGGGTGCCAGGAAATCAACAGAGACAGGTTAAATGAATCTCATCTTAATGACCCTGTGATGGGGTCTGAGAGATGGTTATTTTCTAATGTTTAACTTGCATTTCCCTTTCCCACTTAGCTTCTTTCTATTTTGGCTTACAGCTACTATACCCTTTCATTTTTTCTATTATCCTCCTACGTTTTCTATTACTTAAAAAAATACCTTTCCCTTTCTTTTTTGTTCTATCCCTGCTTCTGTCTATCTTAAAAAAACTTTTCCTATTAGCAGATCAACCTCTAGTACAGCTAGATGAAATGTTTAATCACTGCTTGAATCTCCTTCCCCTCCATACTAAACGATTTCCTCAAATCACAATTTTCTTACAGCATACAGAGATTTCTGTCTATCTCCAGATTTGCCTCTAGTATGTGATACAAAATGAATTACATTATATTTTAATAAACCCTGTACTGCTCCCTCGAGGATAAATTGAACAACAAAAGATTATTTTATATTGCTTTCAATGCAATTTTTTGTCAGTGTGAAGAATGCAAGCTTGGGCTCTAACATAACATGCACGCTGAAAATATTTTCCCCAGTCTGGGGGATATCCATTGAGAGCTCTTAGGTTTTGCTCAGTTATCTCCTTGGTTAGACAGAAAGAAGAGCAGTACCATCAAAATGTCTTTCTAAGAATTGCTTGGATGGTCTGCCCCTCCATCAGATTTCAGTATGTAAAGGTGTAAAAAGTTCCAAAAAATTAACAGAAAAAGAGAATCCACTATTTATCACCTTATATGGTGTACTTGAAAGTTTAAGACCCTTCCCTAAGTTGACAAAGTTAATAAAGTTTGCAGAAGCTGAAATGACAAACAACAGAAAAATCACACTGAGACTGGCAGATTATTCACGTCACGTCACCACAATGAAATGCCAGACATTTTTGTGATGAATGAAAACTAATAAAAGTGAACGATATATGAAATGTACTTTATTAAAATGCTTGCAATTGTTGCAATGAAAACACCGAAGTTAGCGATTTTATACCTGATAAATGTTTTCTTCTGTTTCAGGCTCACGGATTGGCTCGTGTCCAGCCTCAAACACAATGTACTATTACACCAGCCGCCAGAGAGGAAAAGTCAAAGATGAAACAGAAGGGAAAAAGGCGATTTGGAATTCCACGTAAAAACATAGGTAGGCATTAAAGAAACAAGTTCAAAGTACAGGCTGGCAGCAGGACAACCGGTTTGTTGGAAAGCACAGCAAAAGGTTGTTTCATATTTCATAAACCGGCAATGAATACACCTAAATCTCCTCTAATGATCATTAGAGCAACTTCCTAATTCTTTCTCACTAGGGAGACCGCCTGTGGCCCAATATTAATTTTCTGAAGTCAACGTGAATTTTGCCTCTTTTACATAATGGCAATTATTTCCACATATATTTATTATCTACGAATAAAAAAGCTAAATCCAAACTGGAAGGACAGGCTGGTGCTCATGTAACAGGCCACATGGCAAAAGGTTGTCACAACACTCTTCTTCATTTTCAGGTTCTTGCTTTATTGTGAAGAGCACAAAGTAAAACTCCTGACATTATAAAAGCTGAAAAGAATCAGGATGCCCTAAATTACTAATCATCTTTCTTGCTGCACCTTAGGCACTGTTCAATATTCACTAATGGTTGAATCAGTTTCTTTCAGCGTGCCTCCCACTGACATGCCTAAGTGGAAGAACACAAAATCTCCAGGAAAAAAACCCTAAACTATCATATATTTTGTTTCAGCACAAAAACATGAAAATGAAATTACATCTTTTTCTTCTTCACACTTAGTAGGATATTGGACATGAATGTATTGACATATTTCTGATAATCTTTTGCTCCCAGACATTTTGCTTGGATAAAACAAGACTTAAATTTCAGATCTCTTATTAAATCATAGCCCAAATGCCAACAAGGGAGTGTGTTATAACATCAATTCCACTGTTGTTTTTTTTTCAAAATATTCACCCTCTGAATTAAATTCTGGCCCCATAGAAGCCAAAACCACAATGTCAATTTATTACTATCAGAACAAGATGTCACCTTCTTTATTCTCAAAGTAACGCCCTTTTCAGTTAGAGTTTGTATTAAAAAATTATGACAAATCTCATTTGGAAACTTAAAATCTGGACTCACAAGCCACATTTTAGGAAATATTTACAAAATACTTAATCTAATATTTCTATACTCTAACTGAAATATTCTATTCTATTCTATACAGACATATTGTGCTATTACTTACAGCTTAATTTTGAAATATGCTACTTTCTGTAAAAACCTTACAAGTTTCTCAGACGAGCTATCTCTGTAAATTTCAAAACATCTTGTTAAAGGTTTTGGCTGTGTTTGAAGATAACATATATCTAGTCATTTCTGAAACTCCAAGGCCGTACAGCTTCAGAAATTACCTGGTATACAGGATCTTCTACATCTTCTTCCAAAATTGTCTACAGCAAAGTAAGAGGACAGGCAGTAAAAGCAAAGAACATAAACAGTAGAGATAAAAGAACTGTATTCAGAAGTTAAAGGACAGCAAAGAAATAAGCAAAATGGGCAGGTAAGTATATAGTTTTCTTTCTTTAGTATAGAGATAAAGTCATTATTGTTCAAAGTAACTTTATTCAAGTTTCATCCAAGTTTAACAATCTACACCTTATTTGATTTGATTCAAATACAGACATTGAGAAGTATATTGAATCTTCCCTGAAGTATTAGACGCTGTTAAAAGCCTGACTTACAACTCACTGACCTTCATTAAAGTTTTCTTTCTGAATTAGAAGAAACACTGTGCAGGAAATGAATAGATCATTTCCAGTTGTTAAACATGTTCATCACACCCCAAGTGATAGCTTTCATCACTGTTTAATCCTACTTCTGAGCTCACGATGGCCGTTAGGTTCATATTTGTCCATTTGAAGCTAGCACTGTTCAAACCCATTGCTGTTAAATGCTGAGGATGCTCAGTGCCTCTTTGGAGCAACTTCGGGGGCAACTTCAAACCATACTTTTCTTGGCAGTAGTCTAAGCTTATGCATGTACCTGGTATACCGCTTGTTCGCACTGTTTGTCCTTTTGTGCCTTTTTTTCCATTTCTTCCCTTTGTTTCAGTTCATAGATGAGCTGAAACAGGTCTCGCAAGTCCAGAATTACAGGTTCAGCCTATAGAAGCAAAAACAGGAAAATATACTCCTCTTATCCCATCCTGCTGATAGAGCAGTTATAGCATGTCCACAATTGGAGAGAACTTCATACAGAATTAATTTCTACCTTAGCATCCAGGCTCAGGTTAATTTCTATCGAACTAACTATATTTGCAAATTAATGACAACTATGAATATAAAAGGCATTATAAATATAAAAGGTATATATATGAATATAAAAGGCATATATATGAATATAAAAGCATATTTATTAGTGGTTTCTCATACAATGAAATTCCGGTAGACTATATCCAAAGTAGCTATTTGGTATCTATTACTTTCTATTTAGATGAGTATAGGAATATAACCAAACGTATCTGTATCCAGCCTAGGTTAGTTAGAAAGGAAAACAGTAACTAATTATAAAAAAAAATCGTGAAAAATCAGAAATAGTGAAATACATTCCCTTTTTCCCAAGCTGGTGTTGTGGTTTAACCCGGCAGGCAGCTAAACACCACACAGCCGTTCACTCACTCCCCCCACCCCAGTGGGATGGGGGAGAGAATCGGGGGGAGAAAAAAAAAAAAAGAAAGAGTAAAATTCGTGGGTTGAGATAAAGACAGTTTAATAGGACAGAAAAGGAAGTGAAAAGAACAATAATACTAATAATGATAAAAGAATACAGAAAATAAGTGATAGTGATGCACAAAGCAATTGCTCACCAATGCCCAGCCAGCTCCCGAGCAGCGGTTGCCACCCCCCAACCAACTCCCCCCAGTTTATGTACTGAGCATGACGTCCCACGGTATGGAATGTCCCTTTGGCAGTTTGGGTCAGCTGTCCTGGCTGTGCCCCCTCCCAGCTTCTCGCTGGCAGGGCATGAGAAGCTGAAAAGTCCTGGACTAGTGTAAGCACTACTTAGCAACAACTAAACCAGTTGCTAAGTAGTGCTTACTAAATCAGTGAGTTATCAATATTATTCGTGTCCTAAATCCAAAACACAGCACTGTACCAGCTACTAGGAAGAAAATTAACTCTATCCCAGCTAGAGGGGAAACAGGACAGCTGGTTTCATTAATTTGCTATTTAAGAACATCTAAGCAGACACCTGTGACATATCTAGCACAATCATAAATAATACAAGATTGGCCTCTTGAACAGCTTCTTATGAACACGGCTTTTCTATTGAGTTACACTGTAGAAAATGACAGTGATCTGATACTTACTGCCTGGGCTGTTTTTATTGCCACAAATCTGTGATTTCCCTCCTTTCCACATACATATCCAAACGCTCGATGGTCTGTGATATCCTTTGCAATGTATGAAATTTCATGAACTGCATGGTGGTGCTGTAGTAGCTATTAAAAAAAAGACCACAGTAAGAAATATCCATCAAAATGTTCTGTTAAAAAGCAAAAAGCTGTACAATTTCTCTTTCATCAGTACTTTACCTGGATCTCAATACAGCTACGGATTTAAAACGAACATAACCTGGTATCAAAATCAACTAACATCTGAACTCTTTAAGCCTATTCTCTTTTCAAAATCTAGCCAAACTTGACTTGCTTTAATAATCTGACTAAAAGCTTCAATTCAGTATTTTTCTTGGTATCTTTTGGTGAGATATAATTCAATAGAAAATATCATGTTACACAGCATCCTAGGTCCAGAATCAATATTTGTAGGTATATAAAAGAAGCAGCAGCAGCTACCTCTAGCTTCATACAGGGCGACTCTGAGGACAGACTGATCTGCAGGGGCTGCAGAGCTAGAGCTGAGATACCTAATGTCTCCAAGAATCGGCACCAGACTTGCTTTATCTCTGCAACACTCAGCATCAGCCAGCAAGGGGTATTTCATTTAAAGTGTAACAGAACTCCAAAAATATAGTTTTCCCAGAAAATTCATGGAAATGCAATTACCCAACTTGACATCAATGCTAAATGCAAAAGTTCACATTTTATTTCAAATCCCACTTTGGTTAATTTTAATAATAGAAGACTCAACTTTGTTTTAAATGTATGAGTAGAACTCTCTCCAGAGCCAGGACGTGAATCTGAGACTCCTATAAGCATGTCTTGGAGTGCCAGCACCTTTCTCACTTTGGCCTAGGTAGTATTTTATTACCAAAATAATATTTATGTCTTTCTACTTAAAATAATGTCCTTGAAAAGTTTATCTAAAGCAATCTATTAGTTCAAATTTCTACCTTCCGATATATTGACCTGCTCTTATATCATCTAGGGATAATGCTATTTCTGAGAGCAGGCAAAGCCTCACAAAGAATTCTTTTGAGGTCC